AATAATTTCTTTCTAAACAGAAAGTTCTTAAAGAAATGTTTTTCTCGAGAATATTGTGATAATATATATATAGGCTTTTTTTATATCTTTTTTTCTCTCCGTAAAATTTTTTCACGTAAAGAGAGATTCGCATGAGAATCCCTGAACTCGAATGATTGCTTAGCTTAGCTAAAGAGATCGTGCATATACATTACACAGTTGTATAACAATGTGTTCAAAAAGTGAGGAGAATATGAAAATGAAACAGAATATTTATTATTATTTTTATTTATTCGTTCAAATTTATTTCATCTTTTTTATCACCAGATATTTCTACCAAAATGGAACAATTTAAGGCCCAGTTGCACATATGGAGACGAAAAGTTGAAATTTGGCTCGATTAAGAGCGCAGTGTTGAAAAATGGATACGATCTGTCCACATGCATATCCTCGTATATCATATAAAGGCTAAACTAACCCGCCCGCTACTTTTACGTAATCCCATTCGAATTCAGTTTTCCAAGTCTTCGCAAACTTTCTCGTATAGTTTTCAATCCAGTTATCCAGCGAAGCGTTTTTAATGTTCACAACAACCGTCACGAGGCAAGCGCAGAAATCGATTGCATTTCAGATCATCGTCACTCACGTAAACCATTTTTCTATCTCTGCTCGAACTCGAAATTGTTTTTCGTGTTCTTAAAATATCAAGCGAGAAGCCAGCTCTTTTTCAAATTGATTGAATCGAATCATATCCACGGTGTTTTCTAATATTTAATCGATTGCTGTGGATTTTATTTATGCAGTTGGTGGTCTTGAATTGGTGGAGCGAATTGCTCTCTACTCTTTCCCCACTATCTTTAAATTTTATGTATCACTTCCTAACCTCATCACCATAATGCTTTGTCAGTATTTTAATCCAAACTTCATGTTCAAAAAGTTTTGTTCATTTCGAAAGCTTGCCCACGAAAAACTCCAGCTTTTTTTTGTAATTAAAGAAGCTCTAATCGAGTGTCATGAAATTTTCGTCAGCCGTTAATGAGATTTGTACCAGTTAGACGTACGGAATGTTCTTCTCAAGTAGAATAGAAATTCCCCCCCATTTTTTGTACATAATAGTATAAATATGCTAAGTTCATGCATTGTTTCCATTTTATCTACAATTTATTCAGTTTTTTAATTTTGTTTGTTTACTTAAAGTGTTTCCCTTTCAAT